ACAATGTCTAGTTCTCCACCACTAGCAATGATCTGTGTCTTACGCAGAAGGGCAGTTATTTCATTACTCTTCCCCGATGCACCTGTTTTAACCACAGACTTCTTTGGTTTCTTGTTTTGTGTGTGGAGGGTGTTCGGCTTCACAATACTTGTCTTCTTCTGATTACTGGTCAGTGACTGAGACAGTGCCCCTAGATCCAGTTTTTTTCCACACTTGTAAGGTTGTCCTTAACGTTGCAATAAGTGCATTGCCCAGTTGCTATATTTATTAGGGATGTTGTGGTTGCACCGAATGGATTTGTCTCGACTGCTGCCATTACCTTAATCACCATCTCTGCATCCCTTGTGATTCGACTTATACCAGATTCATGGTGAGGACTAGATGAATGAAGCTGTAGCATCGATTTCAACTATGCAGAGATAGCAGCAGTGATGAGTTTTGTGTAAACCCATTTCATCCGTGCGACAGGGTTTAGTGTAATGCCATCTAGACCACTCGCTTCCTTGGCATCTGCATTGTAAGTCTGTTCCAGAAGCATGTCAGGAGAGACACTATTGTGCTTGCCATCTGCTCTCCTCCCGACAAATGCACCTGCTATTAGTGCTTCATGTACATCTGGGGCTGTTTCGGGTAGTTTCTTCATCTCAGCCAGATAGAGAGGCAAAGACTGCTGCCCATATCTGTAGTGTCCTGCTGCTGTAAGGTAAGGTAGCATTTGTGATGATTCAGAGAGATGTCCTACCCAGTAAGCTTCTTGCTGATAGTAGATAAAACTGTGAAGAATGTCTGACATCTCCAAGAAAATGGACCAGAAAATTGCTGTTGGTTGCTCAACCAGTGATTCATGAAAAAGTATCATCTGTTCCTGCAGGGCTGATAACTGTTCATGGGACTTATGAATCATCTGTAACTTATGAGTGGCAGTGATGTCTTTTTCAAACAACATCTTCAAGACGTGTAAACCCGTCACGCAAAGTCGGAAAGCCGACGCAAGTTAAACGTATAGCGGGAGACTTTTTGAAATATAGAGAATTATGTATTTTGGCGCAATTCATATTTTGGGGAAAAATAATCAAAATTCACATTTTTTGCCCAAAATTATTATGCAAATCATCAACAAGCCCATTAAATGTGGTATCATCTTGTAGAGAATTTAATTACTTTTAATATGTTTCCACGCACATGGTGAAAGGAGGTTCGCAAAGCCGACGCAAGTTAAACGTATAGCGGGAGAAGGCCTGTGTGTAATGTACAAAATGCTGTTTTAGCTAATATCAAAATGTTAACTTTGGAGCACTATAACTTTATTGTTAGAAAAGCAATGAACTTGTCATTTCACACAATATTAACCATACATATGGCCAGTTTCTTGGAAAGTTTCAATTTATTACTAAAACGGATTTCTGAAATATGGAGAAGAATGTATTTTGGTGAAATTCATATTTTGGTAAAAAAATGGTAAAAAATCACATATTGGGCCCAGAATTGTTATGAAAATCAAGCACATTATATGTGGTATCATCTTGTAGGGAATTTAATTTCCTTTATTATGATACCAGACACATGGTGATAGGAGGTTCTATTCAAACATTATCATTAAAATTGGTCAATATTAGTTATGCATTTTTTTTCCAGCAGCATATTTTCAAGGTAGTCCATCTGGAAGTTGTTCAGGAAGGTCCCCTGAACATGTTGATACCAAACAACCTTTTACAACATCCCATGTCTGGTTGACCCCCAAAATGGGGTTTTGCCCCCTACCAGACATAGTGGGCCTGGCTACTATACTATGTTGGGAGCAAACACTATTGGCGCATGAGTCGAGATGTCGAGAAACTATACATCCTAAAATATATGTGTACAGTAATTTTTTATAGATGTATGAGCAAGAAATATGTATAATTTTAAATTAAAATGATATTTTTATTATACGAAGTATCAGAGCTCACCTGCAGCGTAGATTAGGGTTAGGCACACGTATATACCTGTAGATCAAGGAAGGAATGAGACCGAGGAAGACAGACAGCAGAGACACAGAGAGAAAAAAGCAGCAGCCAGAGAAAGAGGGGAAAAAGAGAGAGAGAGAGAGAGAGAGAGAGAGAGAGAGAGAAAGAGACAGAGAGAGAGAGAGAGGGAAAGAAAAAAAGAGAGAAAAGGAAAGAGAAAGTGATAGAGAGAAAGAGAGAAAGAGGGAAAGGGAGAAAGAGAGAAAGAGAGAAAGAGGGAGAGGGAGAAAGAGAGAAAGAGAGAGTGAATAAGAGAGTGAATGAGAAAGTGAATGAGAAAGAGAATGAGAAAGAGAAATAGAAAGAGAAGGAGAAGGAGAAGGAGAAGGAGAAGGAGAAGGAGAAGGAGAAGGAGAAGGAGAAAGAGAAAGGAGAAAGTATGGAGAACGCCGCCGCGAGAGAGAGAGACGAGACGCGAGAGGTGAGAGAGAGAGAGAGAGAAGAGAGGAGAGAGAGCGAGAAAGAGAGAAAGGGAGAAAGGGGGAAAGGGAGAAAGAGAGAAAGAGAGGAAGAGAGAAAGAAAGAAAGAAAAAAAGAGAGAAAGAGAGAAAGAGATAAAGACAGACAGACACGCAGGCAGGCAGACAGAAAGACCGATAGGGCGAGAGACAGCTAGAACGACAGATAGAGCAAGAGACAGAGCAAGAGACAGAGCGAAAAATAGAACCAGAGATATAGCAAGAGCCAGAGCGGGAGCATCATTTCTGATTGCAATTCTCTACTTAGTTCTTCCTGTATAGCCTGTACATCTGTCCCTGAAACTACCAAGGCTGAATCATCAGCATATAATTATAGCTTGGCATTAACTGCATCTGCCATATTATTAACGTATATTAGGAATAACAATGGACCCAAAATCGAGCCTTGTGGTACTCCACATTTAATAAGATCTTTATTAGAAAAGATACCTCCTACATCTGTTATTTGACTTCTACCAGAGAGATAAGCACCAAATCATTTCACAGTCTCACTAACCATTCCAATCGCTTTTAACTTAATTAGTAAAAATGGTATGGTCAACGGTATCAAATGCTTTTTGAAGATCTAACAAAGCAATGGCAGTTAGATTTCCTTTGTCAGATTAATTACGAATGTAATCAGTGAAATGGATTAAACACGAGTTTGCTGAGAAAGTTGATCTAAAACCCGATTTTAATTCGTATAGTAAAGAATTTTCCCATAAATAACTTTCTACTTGATTATATGCCAATCGCTCCAGAACTTTGTACATGACACTCCTATTTTGCTGCTCTTTTTATGTAATGGTATGACGCTTGCTATTTTTATGTCTTCAGGAATTATTCCTTGGTTGAATGACATATTGATTATATGTGTAACAGCTACGCAATTAATATTGGATCCATCTTTTATAAATTTTACTGGGATACCATCTAACCTAGTAGCTATACTAGTATTTATGTTTTTGAGCACTTTTAAGAGCGTAGCTTACCGATTTTGTCTGGGGGGGAGGGGCAAAAGCCACGCGCGTGGTGTATTCTGGGTTCTGGGAAGGTGTACGCCATTGGTCATGTATTGAAGAAAAATAAAATTTACGGTTACCGGACGCCCAGCTCCCAGGCTACGCGTCCGGTCATCCATTTCACACGAGATCATCAGGTGTTAGTAACAAATTGTTGCATCGAAACGCGTGCGTTGCGTTGTTTGTGGTCAATTTCGTACAGCCATATCTGTACGTGGTCACATGTCCAGCTAACGTGGTTGCTGCCAGACGCGAAAATGTATATATACTCATACGGCATGCGCAAATGAAACACATTTTCATTTGTTCATTGAGTTCGAGATACCCGTAACCGAGAGAGAGAGAGAGAGAGAGAGAGGGGGGGGGGATCGATTATATTAATGACAGGTTATATAAGCGAACGCATTACCACTATTAAATTGAACACTATAGTTGAAGTTTTGTCATAGTAAAGGGATAGAAAATAAAAGCTTGTTACGACTGTATGAAGATAAATTATCCACATAAAGTGGGTTTTATGATAAATGACGCCGGAGTCGGTTGCCGTTGCAGTGTAGAGCTGTGCGTTTATCAGATGACGAAACGCGGAAGCAGATATCTGAGATCGTGCAGGCATTGCGCAGTGATTGCGCGGTGATGCCAATAAACAGGGAAGTGTTTTTCATCGAAATTCGGTAGATGTATCCATGCTCTGATATTCG